GACACAAACTTTACCTGTAATATCAAAATATTATATTTATATGTCAAAATATATATAGCGGTGCTAAATTCCCCTCTCCCTTCAGCTGCCACTGGCGGCCATCTTGTTAGTAGAGTAACCATAGCAACAGCTCTTCCAAAGGCCGCCATCTTGTTATCTGGGTAACCATAGCAACGCGACCTTCCCATCTCCTCGCGCCGGGCGCCATCTTGTTTCCTGCGTAGCCATAGCAACGCCGCTGAGCGCCGCCATTTTGCTCCCTCCTGTCTCCTTGGCGACGACAGGCCTTCCTTCTTCCCTCAGAAACATGTCTTCTAGGCCGCGCTCGTCCTTGGAAGACCTGGACTTGACGGGCGAGGAGGCGTCGCGGCTGGCGCAGGCCTTCCAGGACGAGGAGTTCAAGCGGCTATTTGCGGAGTACGCGGCGGAGCTGTCGGACCCGGCCCAGCGCGCCATTTACGAGGCCGAGGTGTGCGCCTTGGAGCGGGAGCGCGGCGTGGAGGCCCGCTTCCTCCGCCCGGAGCCCGGCTGGGCCTTGAGGACGAGCCAGGGGGGGTCCCGCAGGTGCTACCTCAACATCTGCAGCAACGAGTTGGTGGGGAGGCCCGAGGCGGAGGCAGGCCGCGGGGGAGTCACGTGGCGGCTGCCGCACTGCCTGTCTCCCGGGAGGGAGGAGCTCAGCCGGGGGAAGGCCCACCAAAGGGAGCCCCGCCGGAGTTGGGTTTACGACGTGCTCTTCCACCCGGAGGCCCTCCGCCTTGCCCAGAGGGAGCCCCGATTCCGGGAACTCCTCCACCAGACCGCCCTCGAGGCCGTGGAGAAGCACTACGCGCCACAAGGCCTCGACAAGGCCAACGCCACTGTCCTCCGCGGAGTCAAGTACAAGGGAGTCCCACAGGCATCGCTGCTTCGAACGCCCCTGCCTCAGAAAGACGGAGAAGGGGAACGAGGAGATGGAGAAGGACCCTCTTCCCCTCTCCCGCCCTTCCCCACGCCTTACGCCTACCCCCCTCCGCCCCCAGAAGCGGAAACCGACCTCACCCCGCCTCCAATGGGGTCCCCATCCGCCACCACCCCTCGCTGGACCCTCCGCCACCGCTCCTTCCTGGACCTCCAGGACTTCCGCCCGGATTCCACGCCCAGCACCGTCCCCCGCGAGCTGGAGCTCTCCGTCGAGCTGCCTCTCCTCCGCTCCGCCGCCCAGGCCCGGCTGGAAGTGCGAGGGAGGCTCCTGGAGCTCGACTCGCCCAAGCCGGCGGCCTACCGCCTCCGCCTGACGCTGCCCTACGCCGTGGACGAGGCCGCGGGAAAGGCCACCTTCGACAAGGCCAAGCGGAGGCTGCTCGTCACGCTGCCCGTCCTCCCGCCGCCCGCCAGGCCCTTCCCCGAGGAAGAGGAGGACACTTCCGGTCAGCTGGAGCCTCTTCCGGACGCCGAAGTGACAACACCCGGTCCCCCTCCACTCCCCGAGGAGTTGATGCCTCTTCCGGACGCCGAAGTGGCTGAATCCGTTCCTCCTCGTGCTCAAAAACCAAAACATCCGGTTGATGCGCAGGAAGAGGCGGGATCTCCACAACCGGGCGCTGAAGCCATAGATGGGAGTCCTATGTCGTCACTTCCTGTCGGGCAAAAACAGTCCAACTCTGCCTCTGAAGCTACAAAGGAAGTGACGAATCACTCCGAACTTCCATCTCCAGCCAACAGCGTCGGATACACAGCCCTCTGTGCTTCTGAAGTTGCTGAAACCGTGATTTCTCCGTCACTTCCGGTGCCTTCCAGCCACGTGGACCTTTGTTTATATGAAGAGGGATTGGGTTGTTCGTCACTTCCGGCGCCTTCCAGCCACGTGGATCAGTGTGTATCTGAAGTCAGTGAAACTGTGAGTTCTCCCTCACTTCCCGCCCCTGCCAGCCACGTGGATCTGTTTGTTTCTGAAGCCCCGAGTTCTCCCTCACTTCCGGCCCCTCTCATTCCTTCCAACCACGTGGATCTGTGTGTTTCTGAAGCCAGTGAGGCAGTGGGTCTTTTATCACTTCCGGTGCCTTCCAGCCACGTGGATCTGCCTGTTTCTGAAGTCAGTGAAGCTGTGATTACTCCGTCACTTCCGGACCCAGTCACGCCTTCCAGACACGTGGATCTTTGGGTTTCTGGAGCTAGTGAAGCAGGGGGTCTTTCCTCTCTTCGGGGACCTGTCAGCTACCTGGATCAGTGTGTATCTGAAGTCAGTGAAACCTTGAGTTCTCCCTCACTTCCGGCCCCTGTCAGCCACGTGGATCTGTCTGTTTCTGAAATCAGTGAACCCCTGAATTCTCCCTCACTTCTGGCACCTGTCACTCCTGTCAGTCACGTGGATCTGTGTCTGTCTGAAGACAGTGAGGCTGTGGGTCTTTCCTCACTTCCGTCCCCCGTCAGCCACATAGATCTGTGTGTTTCTAATGTCAGTGAAGCCCTCAGTTCTCTATCACTTCCGGCCACTGTCAGCCACATAAATCTGTGTGTTTCTAATGTCAGTGAAGCCCTGAGTTCTCCGGAACCTGTCACGCCTTCCAGCCACGTGGATCTTTGTGTCTCTAAAGTCAAAGAGGCTGTGGGTTTTTCGTCACTTCCAGCACCTGTCAGTCATGTGGATCTATGTGTCTCTGAAGCCAGTGAAGCCGTGAGTTTTCCGTCCCTTCCGCTGTCTTCCAGCGTCCGCCACGTGGGGCTAAGTGCTTCTCAAGCAGGGAGTCCTTCACTTCCGGCACCTGTCACTCCTGTCAGCCACCTGGGTCTGTGTGACTTGCCAGAAGAGTCTGAAGTCGTAGCAGAAGTGTCTCCTCCTTCACTTCCTGCTCCTCATGCCAACCACGTGGGTCCTCAGGAGATGAAGCAGCCCACAAATGTCCCCAGCGCTGTGCACCCCCCATGCCCCACAGAGGACCCTGCAGCCCCCGCCTTGTCCTCCTCTCCTGACCCTGCCTTGCTGCCTCCATCTCCTGGCCCCGATGGTCCTCCCAAGCCCACCACCAGCCCTTCTGTTCCGCCGTGTCCCCCTTTCAGCTGCACCCAGGATGAACAGACCGTGACCGTCCTCTTGCAAGTGTCCAGCGTGGACCCGCAAAGTCTCCAGGGGGAAGGGGGCGCCCACCATTACAGGGTCAGTTTCCGCAGCCAGGACTTGGCTTCCTACAGCATCCTCTGGCAGTTCCTTCCGGAAAACACATTGGCTCCTCATGAGGCAGAGATCAGCGTCTCCCCCAATAATGTCGTTATTGTCCTGGCCAAATCACCGGAGACCTGCGGGCTTTGGACTAAGCTCCATTTCGGCCCAAATGCAGACACCTTGCAGGTAATTCATTTTGAGTTATATATGGAAGACTCCTTGCTGCCTGGATATTTTGTCGGGAGCGTTTTTATAGTAACAGCTAGCAGATATACTTGACTGTTTTCTCCCTCCTTCAGTTTTAT